TAACGAAAAATAACTACAAAAATTCCAAAATCCAAAATTTTTATTTTCAGTTTCCTTCGGCAGCTACTGGAAAATGGGTTTTCAAATCAGGACCGTGGCATTTTCAAGGTAATCCGGTTTATTTTAGGAAGTGGTTTTCTGGAATTCAACCTGTTACTCCTATTGTTGAAACCTTACCGATTTGGGTTAAGCTTTGGGGTATTCCGTTAGAGTATCATTCATTTGAGGGGCGTGAATGGATTGCAAGTACAATAGGGGAATCGCTCTGGATGGACCAGCCCACTAGGGTCGGGGCTCAATTGGGTTTTGCAAAGGTTGGCGTTGATCTTGCTGCTGATTGTGGGTTTCCTGATAAAGTTCGTATTTACCCTGATGATGATTCGTCGTTTGAAATTGAGATAGAATATCTAAATAAGCCTCTGGTATGTGGTAGATTTGAGATCTATGGGCATGATTATGATTGGCTTGCCAAGAGTGGGAAGAAATGGATTCCAAAAGTGAAGGTTGACACTAAGAATACTGAAGTTGTTTCTCAACCTGGTGTTGCTCAAATAAGGGATGCTAATGATAAAGTTAAAGGAAGTGGAGCATAGTTCTGGTGCAGTTGTCTCTGCTTGGTCTGCTGAAGCAGGCAATTCCCAATCTCTATTCCAGTGACTAAAAGCACTAGTTTGGATGTAGTTGGTTCTGGGTCTGCTGGTGAAGGGATTTCCAATTCTGCTCCTCAGTCAATAGGGGGCCTCCACGAACGGCATGTTGATGTTGAGTTGCTTCAACATTGCCATGAACTTGGCAAACTCAGTCTCCCGCTTATCTTTATGTAGTCTAGTGGGGAAGGGAAGCTGGGGTACGTGCTCCTTAACCACTGGTTGTGGTTTGGGAGCACGTGCTTCCTTCTCCACCCTCACTTCGGCATCGTCGGCTGGAAGTGCTGAAGCAGGCAGTGGCTCTTCCTCCCTAGCCTGTGCAGGTACCGCCGATGTGGACTTGCCACTCCTAGTGGTGATGACATTCAGCTGCTGGTGCGGCTCCCGTGGATTGGGGATGGTAGTGGCAGGTAGAGTTCCCGGGGCCCGGGTATTGTTTTGACGAGTTATTCCTTCAAGCTGATGCTGGAGGTCCTGCAGTATAGCACCTTGGTTCCTCTGACCTACCTCCATCAAGGCGATGCTTTGGTCTATTGTGGTAAAACTCGCCTGGCTAGTAATCATGAATGCCGCTAAAATGTTTTTCAGCTCCGTCATCTGATTATCTGGGGCCGGAGCTGCTGCTGGCTCGGCATACTAATGTTGAGGCTGCTGAAACGGTTGCCCCTGCCTAGGCTGGTAATGCTGCTGCTGTGGAACTGGCCCCTGTCTAGCCTGGAAAGGCTGCCTCTGCTGAAAACCACCTGCTGGTGCTAGAAAACCAGGTGGTTTAGTGGTGTTGCTATTCCAAGCGAAGTTGGGATGCTGGCGCCACCCCTCATTGTATGTATTGCTATATGGATCAAGGCACCGAGCATTGGCGATGAAGTTCAACTGCTCTTGTGGTGTAGATGACTCCCGCATAGCCTGGCAGTCTTCCACCAGATGGTTCAAGCTCTCACACCACTGACATCGAGCTACTGGAGGTTCGCCCAGACCTCTACCCGGAATAAGACTGTTGGGCTGCTTCAATGTATACACTAACTCAGCCACCTGCTGCTCGAGCCCGGACCTGACCTCCATGGCGTTCACACCACGATCCCGAGAATTCCTGTCTCTGGTGCTCTGCCCCCAAGAATGATCTCTGGCAGCCAAGGTACTGATCATCTGGTTCAGTTCGGGTGGAGTCATAGTAAGAATATCCCCTCCTGGGCATAGAGACTCAATCATCCTCTGGCTTTCCAGAGAGAGAGCACTGTAAAAGTTCCCACGGTGAATGCAACACTGAAACCATGATGGGGGCATTGCCAAAAATACCCCGAGTACCGCTCACATGCATCACGAAGTGACTCGTCTGGCTCTTGGCGGAAGTGAGTGATCTCCCGCTGGATCTATGTGGTCTTCGATGCTGGATAGTACCTGTGCACGAACTTGTCGGCCAGATCGTCCCAAGAAGTGATGGACAATGGGGGTTGGGTCTCCAACCACCTCTTAGCATGCCCCGCCAGAGAATGGGGGAAGAGGTGAAGGCGGATTGCGTCATCATGGACACCATTTAGCTTGAACCTGTTCGTCAGCTGCAGGAAACGGGAAAGGTGCACCCTTGCCTCCTCATCCTTCAAGCCATGAAACATGATAGAGGATGTAATGAGTTGAATCCAGCATGGCTTGATCTCGAAGTTGTTCGCTGGAATGGGCGGGTAGAGGATGACAGGGCGGATATCAGCAATCCGTGGAGTGTAGTAGTACTCCAAGGTGGGACCCGGCGGCGGTGGTTGATGATGAACCCCATCGGCCTGGGGTATTGGGTTGTTCCCCAGGATCTGGTTCACTGGGGAAACCTGGAGAGGTATCCCCTGTGGCGGGTTTTGGTCTCCTTCCATCTCGTACTCTTCCTCGGAATCGCTGCTCAAGTAGCCGTCTATGCGCTCCTCCGTAGCCAGTCTAGCTCGTTGTTGTCTCCTAAGTTGGCGACAGGTGCGTTCAAGCTCCGGATCCAACGGCAGTAAACCTCCTGACTGGCTACGGGTCATGCACTACCTGCACACAGTCAAGCAGCAAACCCGTGAAGGCACAAGTGCGACAAAGCAAACAATGCGAAAAAGAAAAGCTAAATTAACAGAATTCATGTTTCTTCAACAACCTAGCCGTCCCCGGCAACGGCGCCAAAAACTTGACTTGCTCCTACTGTCACTCTAGAAAATGGCCAAGTGTAACCACCTCCTAAAGCGTAGTATAGCGGGTTTGGATTTTAATGTCAACCCGGGTTCTAGATGTGATGACTACTCCGTGAGTTCTTATTATTTAGCCGTGAAACTTTAGTGAAAATCCAAACAAGTAAAGCAAGTAAAAAGGTTGTTTTCAAGTCGAGAGAGGTCACCCGGATATGGTTCCCCCTAGACTGCAGTTAAGCCGGATTGTAATTCACCAAGTTCAAGTTCAAAGATAGTTATACTGCGAGAGGTTCTTAAACAGTCTGAATTCTCGACTAAAGGTCTCCAGACCCTCTCAATCTGAGTCTCCAGCGGGCGACTAACCTCCACCGGATTAAACAGATTGAGGCCCTAACGAACCAAACCTCCACTACCGATGTAAATTCGGTACAGAATAGTGAATTGACTTCTCGACTAAAGTCGCCAATTCACTACCTTCAATCAAGGGTGCTCTATCAACCTAGGCAGATATTCTCTTTCTAGGTTAAAGCAGAAACAACATGAATTTGATCAGGATTCATGCCATTCAACAAGTCAAACCTCAATTGAACATAATCATATCAATGAATCTGTACTTGGGTTCATACAATCAGACCTAACATACAAATCTAGGGTTCTTCATACCCAGGTGAATAAGAAAGTTACTCCATAGAGAGAGATGGAAAATCTAGCTCAGATGCGGAAACCATACTGTGAAGGATGGGAATCTTCTTTGGCACTCAATCAGATCCTCTCTAAGCTCAAGCTGCGCTCCAATGGTGATGGAGATCGATCAAGGACACTTGCAGAGTCAGGTTCGTCACTTTCTCTCTAGGTATCGCTTTTTCTCTCTAAAACTCGGAACCCCACTCCTTTGGCTGGAAATTGGGTTAAAACCCAGAAATTCCCGATCACACGACCGTGTGACTTTCTCAGCTGCCCGTGTGAGTGTCAAAATGCGGAGTTTCGATTAAGTGACTTCCAGTTAGGGTTGGGCAAACATGGTTATCCCCTAGACCCAACCTACCCTGACCCACCCCTTTCTCAGTCGTTTTTGGTAAAATTACATGTAATTTTATTCAAATTACTTAGGATTTTACTTTTGTTACCTCAAATTTAAGCTATAACAAAGTTGTAAGTAGGTGAAAACCTAATTTTTCTCGAATAATTTAACTAAGTTTATTATACATAGTTTGCTTCTTGATTTTTCTATTTAAAAGATAAGTATTTCTAATTTTTTTTCTTGTTAAATTTATGGATCGTTTTGTCCCGACATGTGACTTGTAATAAATTACCCGATCTAAACCTATTGTACCATAGAATGAGTATAAATATCGAGATACCCGCCCTGAATTTAACCTACCATTGCCATTCCTAATTAAACCCTCATATTTTCCTTGGAGGTTGGCAAACATGCTAGGAAAAATTAATCGAAAAATGCCACAAGCTCCATGTATTTTCCACTAATTGATTTAGGCTTGCCATGGGTGAGCAAAGAAAGTGACAGACCGTTCAGTTAGCAAAAACCTAATGAAACAGTAACACACTTAGTCACTTATGGGTTTAATAATATTCATGGATATTTATTCTTTCCAGTTTCAATTTTCGATCGTATTGGATAAAGGCATTATATATAGACATTTATGAGCATTTCTACTATGCTATATAGCATTGGTGTTTTAATGTACAAATCAAAGTTGTATCATAACATTAAATGTATACATTTAGGTTAGGGATGGCAATGGGTTGGGTTGGGGCTGGTTTTGTCAAACCCAAACCCATGGGTTTATCTGCCAAAAAAACCCGATGTAAAACCCGTTGGGTTTGAAAAACTCAAACCCAACCCAACCCGCTGGGTATCCGCTGGTTCATGCGTACCCGTGGGTTTTTCTAGTAAAAAATTTACAATAACAAGTTTCTTTCAAAATAAAAGTTTTAACATCAATTTTCTCATACAAATTAATCATACAAAAAACACCAATCTAGAGCATACAAGCAAACCGCAAATGATCAATACAAATTGTTCAAAATTAAAGATAAACATCTATAATCAATAAGATTAATTGAAAGCTTCGTCCTCTTCAACTAAGTTTCTTCATTCTTCACTTCATAATCTCAACTTCATTCTAAACAATTAGAAAGAACAAATTATACATGTCTCCACAAACATAAAGAATATTAGTTGTTTAAGGAAGATATATTATTTAGAATATTAAATATATCGGGAAAATAATTATATGTGTGTAGGCGGGTACCCATGGGGCGGGTTTACCTAAATCCAAACCCAACCTGACCCGGTGAATAGTGTACCATCACATAAAGGTACAAGTTCAAGTTGTACCATAAAAGAATGGGTTAATACCTTACTATGGCCTGAACTATGACCATGTAATCAACTTTGGCCCGTGGTTTGTGAAATTAACATCCTGGCCCGAACTATGCAGCATAGACACAGAATTGGCCTTGAGCGTGGTTTGACCGTTTGTTTAGACGGTCAACACCGTTGACCGTTAGTCAACTGTCCAGGTCACTGCCATGTCACCAAAAAAAATTATTTCTTCATTTTTCTTTTTATTTCCATTACAAAATCGAATAATAAAGAAAGAAAAAAAAAACAGAAAACCCAGGCCACCCATCCCCACCTTATCCCCTCAGTTTTTCGATCAAACCCAAATCCCTAACCATTCGCCTTCTTCCCCGACGAGGCGCCGCCTCCATTCTCTCCGTTTCAAATGCAGCGGCGGCCGGTCGTTTAAAGACGACGCCGACGCCGTCGCCGTCGCACGTTTTCATCAGAACCCAGATAACCCATCCTCGCCTTCTTTCATTTTCGATCAAAACCCTAACCAATCGCCTTCTTCCTCCTTCTTCCCCGACAACCCACCGCCTCCATCATCTCCGTTTCAAATGCAGCGGCGGCCATAAATCCTACCCAGAACCCTCACCTGTTCCTCGCGCGCCATCCCTTCCCCACCCTCGAACCCCACTGTTCTCTCCCTTCCCCACCATCTTCCCCACCCTCGAACCCCACTGTTCTCTCCCTTCCCCACCCTCGAACCCCACTTTTCTCTCGTCAACAACAAAATAATCCACTTCTTTGTAGGCCAACCCTTCCCCACCCATCGCTATTTTCTACCAAACGCGAAGAAAGTGAGGTTCCAGGGACAACTCTAGCAAGGGACCACTTCGAGGACCACTTCGACAAAATCTTGTTATTCAGTTAAGGTAAGCAATCACTATCCCTCGTTCCTATATTCTGAATACGTCCAAGAAATTCGTTTTGTTCACATGTGGATTGATGCATAGTGGACATTAAACAATAATAGTTGATTTGTCTTTATCGGCTTAGTGAATTTATCGATTTGTCTTTGTCGGCTTAGTGAAGTTTGCTTAGAAAAGTGTGTTTTCGATTTGTTTATGTGCAGAATGGAAGACCCAATTGAACTCATTTTATGCCATGGAGGATTTATGGATATGACAGGGGCTGTTCCAAAGTATGTTGGAGGTGATGAAGCTGTGGTGAACATGGTTGTCGATGTATTGTCCTATTTCGAGTTAACAAAGACTCTAATTGAAGATTTAGAGTATGTCTCCGTGGAAAGGCTTTGGTACTTGACTCCGGGTAAAAGTATGGCCACTGGATTGCACAAAATTCATTTAGACGCGGAGGTTATGAATGGATTACTCCCATGTGTAGGTAAAGGACAGGTGAGGGTCTACTTTGAAGCCACTAAAGACTTTGGTGATGATGGATTTATGGGTGACAACTACGGCCATGACCATGATGGTTCAGACGAGGATGGTGAAAACTCGGCTGTACCTGAATTTGTGCGAGTAGAGGAAGAGGATGATGCCCAAACATCTGATGAAGAGTATCATGAAATCAGGCAGAAGGTTCGAAACAGGAGGCAGAATTATAGAGCTCAGTTTCAAGAGTCGGGTGAGGAGGTGGATCAAGTGGTATTGGAGGAGGATGAAGAGCAAAATGTGGGAAGGGAGTGTAGACACCACATTTTGTCCGGAGCAACCATCCTACTCAAAATTCGGAAGAATATTCCATTTAAAAATTAAAAAGAAAACCCAAGTGAAATTTTGGACGAGGTTGGTTGAGATTAGCAGTGGCAAATCAATAAGTACCAATAATTTCGAAGTCCTCTTTCTGTTTAGTTCGAATAGCTGTACTAGGTAGGATTAGCAGTAGCTAATGACTACCAAATTCGCTTTATTTAGAATAACAATAGTATGCCGTCACGACTATACTAGTATTACTGTTAATGGTTAGTGACATAGGTTTGAAATTGGTCAAATGAGATAGGAAGACCATAGTAAACTTACTGATATTGGTCAATATTGGTCGAAATTCACAATCGGGAACTATTTAATTAGAAGTTGGGATATGGGTCACGATTGGAGAAAAAGTAAGCAAATTGGGTGGGAGCAATCAATTGAATAGTTGGGCCATACAATAATTACATGATCATTCTAATTATAAGTCAGCAAAAATAATTACATGCATAATTACAAAGTACAAATGTACAACTAATAATTATTACATTTGACAAGAGATTAAGTATGAATAAAAAAGACTTGGAGGCCTTGCCAATTGAAGCTGTTTGGGCCCACATTGATCATCATTTTGAGCCAAAACCATACCAAAAACCTGCAAAAGAGAAAAAAAAACTATTAGAAACCAGCCCATACCAGCAACCAACACTTAGGCCCAATTCTCAAACCATTAAACTCAACCCAGGCCCATATTCAGGCCCAATTGACTCTGGTCAACTCTGGTCAACTTGGTCGACCCGGGTCAACCCAATCAAGTATGGTCAGCCCGGGCCAACTCTGGTCGACCCCGTCAACCAAACCCATCATTCTTATCTAAAGGAGCAGCAGAGTAGCAGAGCAGCAGAACAGCAGAGTCTCTGCCAAATCTAAAAAAGAAGATTTCGGCCACCTCCTCCAAGGACCAATCCCAAATTGCCAACAACATAAGTGGCTAAGGCTACCTCTTCAAGAGCAAAGGAGGAGCAGCCAACACACAGGTATGAACAGTAAAAGGCAGCCATATATAAGGAGCTGTTTTACCCCAAACAAGAGGACAGAGAGGAAGAACCAACAACAAAAAAAACACACAAAAAGGGAGACAAAGAGCATTAAAAGCACTAAGCACCAAAAAGACAGAAGCACTAAGGATCCAAAAAGGGCAGGAAGTCAGAAACAACAACGAGCCATCACCATCAAAATCCACTAAATCACAACACAGGTTGGTATTCTCTACACCCCATTAACCGTACAAGCATTCTAGTTATTCATACATCCATGTAGAAGATCTACTTAACATATGATACTTCTAAGTTCATAATCCATACTTAGGCTGCCTAAATTTGTATGTGAAGTGGATATTACGAAATTCTGATCTTTGTGACATGTATGCCTCTTTATGCTATTCATTTCTTTCGTTATATGACAGTTTACTTTTTATCACCTAAATACAATGAATCAGTTTGAGTTGCTCTCAGTTTTTCTAGCAAGCATAATTCTTGTTAAGCTGCTAGCTAAACTTAGCACTATTATCAGCCAGGCTAGTTCATTTACTCTTTCAACATAGCAATAATCAAGCAATCCATTCAAAACATAAAAAATTCAAATCACACCTTTGAGAGAGTATTTTAAAATACCTCATTTTGTGTTTAAGGGTACCCCTTTTCTTTAGCCAATTACCAGATTTGATAATCACGAAGTTCTCATTTGATTATTATTTTGTATGCTAAATACAATAAAACACTTTCATTAAAAATCCCATTTGTTACTAATCAGTATTAGCCTTTTAATCAAGTTGTTTAACCAATTGATAGTCATAAGCAGTAGCTATGATGTCGTATTACTTTTAGGACCATTATGGATTTTCGAATTTTAATAAAGCAAGTTCACCACCATGTCCAAAACCAAACATTAAGGCTAAACAAACCTAGGAGGTCTAACAAAATTTACTTTCACAACACCAGAAAGTTCAATAAACAATCATAACGATAATTAAACCACCCATTTTAGATTTAGAAGAGGTATCACCTAGTTTCTTTCAAATTGAATAAGATCTGCAAAAAATTAGGAAATCGAGAGTTAGAACCCCAAAAATGATAATAGGTAAAAAACGAGAATAGAAAAATAAAACAAATAACTTACCCCCAAACAAAACCCTCGCCGTCGGCTCTGGCGCTGGCCGCGCCGCCGGCGACCGCCGCCTTCCCTTCCCTCCCTCGGCAGAGATCCGAAACCATAAACCGTAAAAACAAAAGAAAATGTAATCCAAAGATCAGAACCCGGTCTGAGATAAAAAAATCAAAAGAAAACCTACACGCAAACAAAAATCTCACCCAGAATAAACCCCATCGCCGGTAAAATGGAAAGTCAGAACCCGGTTTTCGAACTAAAATCAAACAAAAACTCGCAAAATCGACATGCAAACCAAGGGGAGTTGTCCCTTACCCTCGCCGTAATCGCCGCCGCCGAGCCCTCGGTCCAGAAATTTCCCCGGAAATAAAAAAGGAAAACGAGAAGGAAATTAGTAGAATCCAAACAATAATCAGAAACCAAAAATAAAAAATGTTTCGATCTTACCTAGATCGAGGCCATCTCGTTTGATTTCGTCTAGTGTGAGCGGCCTTTCAGGCGGATCGAACAGGGAGAGAGGCGGCTGTTTTTTTTTTGTTTCGATTTCGGGTTTTCTGGTATGGAAGGAAGAAGAAGAGAGGGCGCCCCATCTTCTCTGTTCGTCGAGAGAGAGAGAGAGGGAGAGGAGAGCAGAGGCGGCGGCACGAGATCGGGGATAGGGTTTGGGTTCTCTGGACGCGGGAGAAGAAAGGAAGGAGAGGGCGGCGGTTTTTGTTCGGCTAGGGTTTGGTTTTTTTTTTCTGGAAGAGGAAGAGAGAAGTGGAAGGATCGAGAGGAAGAGAGAGAGGCAAGAATGAGATGGACGAGAGAGAGAGAGGGCGGCCGCTTCTCTTTAGGTTGATTAGGGTTTCTTTAGAAAGTATATATACCCCATCGATTACAACGACCAAAATACCCCTAGGGTTTGTCGTTAATTACGCGGCCGTGCCACCGTGTTTTCGAGCAATTACTAGAATGCCCTTCCCCCATCCCCACACTAAAACGAAAAAAATCAAAAAATCGCACTCAGTTGGTTTCGAACCCGCGGTCTCTGGGTCAGAGGAGGCTAGCAGTTTGACCAGTTGGGCTGCCGACAATCATATGCTAAATTATCCATCCCGCTTAAGTTTATTTGTTTATAGTTCTTAATACGAAATGGTAAATGCGGATTAAGTTTATCTCGTTTCTTTTCCAATACGAGTCAAGCCTCTTCCTAATAACTTAAATTATTAAATTCTCTTTTCATAATTTCATAATAATCAAATTAAATTTTATTAACATAAATTATAATACGAAATTCACGATCAGTGGAACGTGATGAAAATGTCACAATTAAACTATCAAAGTTCAAACGAACTACGTGGACTTTGATCCCGTCTAACGGGTACGTAGGCAACCGATAAGGTTCGAGTCCAACTAACCAATTAACTTCATCGTTTACGTCAGTGGACGTACAATTAAATTACCATTAATACGATTTAATTTTTTTTAATGGTCCAGTGGGACCCTAAAATTACTAAATTATTACTAAAGATACACCCAACTCGCATAAGAACTTATCGACTTAAGTAGTACCGATTTAGGGCGTTGTGGGGGTGTTGCTTAACTTCCCCACACGTAACCGTACTCCCGAACCCATATCTCTTAAATGCAGACCATATCTCGGTTCTGACCCTAAGGTTAGAGCCGACAGACGAGTGTTCGATCCACTCCAAGTAAGATCGATGGCGACTCCCAAAAATGCCGACGCGACGACACAAAACGGACCCCCGGACGGGACGGTTGCGACAGTTGGCGACTCCGCTGGGGACATTCGAGAGTCGAGCTACATAACTAAGTTCGATAAGTTTTTCTAAAATTCTATTACGTGTTGGGTGTTTACGCTATTATTTGCGCAATTATATTTTCGCAATTAAATTCAGCATTCATGCATAAAAGCTCTATGCCCGGGCTATCCCTTTAGAAAATTGAAAGGAGTACCGTGATATCCACGGTAGTGGTAGTCGCGCAAAACTTTCTAACCAAGTTGAACTCGGATCCGAGGATGATCTCGAGGTATCCAGCCAGTTTGAAAGGGCTACGGCAAGATACAACTTGGGAGCCAAATCCCTAGAAATTCCTCTGCCAACATATAGTAAGCATAGAAGCCTCCCTAAACAGTCCAAAATAATCCCAAATGCCACCCTACAACCAAGTCATTACGCCTCCCGAAGCCATAGGTGTACCTAATTAGGATGACATTCTTTCTATCATATAAATGCATGTTTGTTATTGATATGATATGTTATGTTCTGTCTTTTACTTAACTGGCGTGAAAGGTTTTTTAAAAACCCATATCTTTATATTTTCCTTAAAACTTTCATTCAATAATTCAAAATTGGTCACACAAATATTTTTGCAAAACATATACACCCCTCAAAATCGTATTTGCATTCATGCATCATTGCATTTTTTGCATAAGCATCATGCATACGTATAAAGAACAGAATAAATTTAACAATGTTAAGAAAAATCAGGTTTTCTTAAAATTGCTCCTCCACAAGGAAAAATCAAATCCTTAAGTACTCGACAAGATCCGAGGCTCAGTTTGTCATGGAGGCATTTCAGAAGGATTTAAATGACATCAAGAGAAGAGTGATTGGGCTTGAAGAAGTGAAAGAGGATGTTAGCACAATTTTGAGGATTCTGTCAAAAATTGAGAGGACAATGGAAGCGAAAAATGGAGATGCGCCATTTGGCGAAGAAATTTTATACCAACCGCACAACAAAGTAACGTCAAATGATAAGACTCCACTCCTGCTCTCAAAGAATGTGCATGATGCAGAACAATCAAAATGTGACAATCCGCGAAGATCAGAAAGGCTTGAAGAACGTGTGATCTGCATCGGACAAGGGAAGTTAGAGAATCACGAAATGGATGAGAGGGCAAACCAAAGGGTAGGAAATAAAGGAAAACTACTGTCAACCCAGGTGGAAGCAGAAGAGAATATCTGGAAGTGTCACTTTCAAAAGAATCATGCTCTTTCTTATGTTGCAACAACCACACCAATATTGCGACCTCTGAACTTCGTGACACCAGCAAATCAAATCCCACTACCGGTACCACAACAAGGTGTTAACCGAGATGTCACTATGCCAAGGAAAGCAAAAAGGGTATTTGATCCAATCCCAATCACGTATACCGAACTCTTCCCTCAGTTACTCCATGAACGACTAATCGCTCCTATTCCGGGTGAGGCTCTACGACCTCCATATCCAAGATGGTATAGGTTCGATAAGCAATGTGATTACCATTCCGGAGTCCAAGGGCACTCTGTGGAAAATTGTAACGCTCTGAAGATAAGGATTCAAGAGATGGTAAAAGCTGGTTGGTTGAAGTTCGAAGAAGAGCCAAAACGCCCAGACGTCAACAGGGATTCACTGCCAACACATGAGAATTAGTGGGCGTACTACAAGGCAAAACTCGATTATGATGATGTCGAGTCTACCAAAGTAAATAAAATATCGAGATCATTTGCCATAATAAAATATGTATCACTTTTGCTTTCGTCATCATGAATAAAAGATCTTTCATGTTTCGACCTTTTCGGAGCATTGCGTGACCATTATCAATCTTAATTTGAGAGTTCCCATCAATGGTTTTTTTTATCAAAATAACGAATGCCACTACAGGTCCTTTTTTTTAAAAACGGATTTATCTTCTAAAAAATGGAAGCCATCCAAAGCCGACTTTATTTTCGAAGTTAAGCCATGAGACTGCCATGATAAGCAATTATGAGCACCCCACTGGTGCTGAGATTTAGGACACCCCACTGGTGTCAAGCGATTATAAACACCATGCCACTGTCAATATTTTGAGCACCCACTGGTGTTGAGGGTGTGCATGATCAACTAAAATCAAGAAACAAACACCCTACTAGCGTTCATAAATTACGTGAGCTAATAGTAGAAAGGTGTAATGAGCATACGACATCATGCTACTTATAGAATCTCGTCACCACTACATTTGACTTTCGCCAACAAATTGAGACTCAGCTTACCTGAACTCGAATATCCAAATCTCGACGTACAAGGGACACAACATTACAGACATGAATCTCTCACAATATTTTGTGACAAGAAGACCGGGAAGTTCAGGGATCCCATTTATCAAAACCCAAGAATCACTTGAGTGAAGCACTCATCTATACAAACAAGCACATGGCGTCGAAATCCTCACTTCTACAAAAAAGAATAGCCAATTCAACCTAGCTAACGAGAAGCGACACCCACACGATCAATCATCAAAACAGACTCTCGTTCCTTTCACTACTCGTCCCACCGAAGACAAATAACAGATCAAGGAAGAAAGAAGCATAGATGGGGGCATAACAAAATCAAGTAAGTCCCACACGAAAAAAAACAAACAAACAAAAAAACCAAAAAAAAAAACCAAAAAAAAGAAGGAAAAAAGAAAAAAGAAGAAGAAAAATGTTGTGGGACTTACAAATTAGGTGCCCCTATTTAACTTTTGAAGTACCAACTTTCTGCACCAAGCCAAAGTCTTGCCCGACCAATTTCAAGATACGGCAAGAAGGACCTTCAAGCAGTAAACTTTGATGATAAGAAAACCTTTTCGGCCAAAATCACTTCATCCCATATACTCATCATTTTGAGAGCAAGTCAGAAGCTGAAGCCCCACCACAACCCACATTTAGAGGTCAAACAAAAATCCTGACAAGTCCATAACCAGATTACATTCGCAAAAACTTCAAAACCACGACCCTTGAAACATTAGTCTCAAAGACAGGGGGCAAAACCAGCCAAACACCACATTCCCTCAAATATGCCCAAGACTGGCGACATTTTCAAACAAATCTTTGCCGAAAAAAGACCGGGATAGTAGTGGTTCTCAACCCATCACGTCAATCTCATACATTGGGGGCAAAACCAGAATCCCTCTACAAGAAGCCTTAGGGTCGATATCAAAATCTGACTTATCTGTCACCCATCTGAATAAACCACACTTCAAGAGGACTCCTACCATCAAAGTCATATCGGACAAAAGCCCCTTTCATGGGAAACCAACGTCCACAACGAAACCATAGGGAGGTATCCTAAATCAATCACACCAAGGTCTTCCATGTTGCTGCACAAGGAACGCAGTTGGCCACCAACATAAAATGAGACATCTCAAAGTGATCAGAATCTTAATGGTAGCTGAAATGTCGTACACTCAAATCACCTATAGGAATTAGTGATGAGCGAAATCCAAAGCGGGAGTGAGAGCGAGCAAAATCAAAAGCAAGAGTGAGAGTGAGGGCTTACTGATATTCTCATGGCTTGACTTACACTTCTTTATTTGAAAAAATCAAATTTGACCACATGGCAACTACCACACAAAAACGATTTTATCCAATTTGCACACACTTCACGAAAGCAAAGTCTTAATATGGCTTTCATTATTAATTCTCCAATAAAAATTTTCAAACATTGTTGCATTCATCTTAAGTCAAGATTGATAAAGTCACTCTTTGTTCTGGAGAATAGAAAGTGAGCAACAGATCTTTGGGGGGCAAAAACGGTGCAGTATGGAAGAAGGGGAAGTCTGAGTACCCAAGAATCAGATTATTCAACTTCACTCATGAGCTGATGAAGGAATCTCAAAGGGATTTGAGAACATTCAAATCTCATTAAACCAACCATCCAACTTATTATCCTTAAACTTCAGGGTCAGAAGGAGAGGGGACCAATATACTGCGCATACCAAGAGATGCACAACTCTGAAATATGTGGGTCCAAACTTGACCGACAAGAAGAACAGAGATAAAACACATCATTACCTTAGCTCACAAAGTATATCTTCGCGCAACTACCACCAAGAAGATATACCTCAGGACAACAAGTTCAAAATCGCTTCAGCATTAGCACGAACTATGGATCAAGTTGATCGAAAGGGATTGACAATCTTCGAAGATGAGCAATTTAAAGAAGACCCAGACAAAAATGGCATAGAGATTATCAAATGCATCACATCTTCTTTTCACTCAACATTCACGACTTCATCGGCATGATTCATCACGCCATCAATTTCGAAAATCATTTTGATACTCCTTAAACAACATCATATGTTAAAATGGGTCATGCATTTATTGCCAGCAATTCCCAAAATAACTCATACATTTAATTGGATTTCCAATGTTTGTAAAAAGGAATCACAACAAGATACAACAACTACATTCACGTGAATTCTTCAAGTCTCATGTTTAGCTTTCACGTGCATTTATGATAAGCCATAACAACGGTTTAGGAACGTCCTAAACAAATACCATGAACATACGATATCGGTGCGGGCGAACAATCGCGAGCCCTCTAATAGACGTGTTCCGTCGACTATCACGGACATTACAAAAACTACCTAGTCAATTTGTTTCGTCGACTATCACGAGCAAATTAGATAATCTTTATGATGTGTTCCGTCGACTATCACGGACATTACAAAAACTACCTAGTCAATTTGTTTCGTCGACTATCACGAGCAAATTAGACCATCTTTTTAACTTGTTCCGTCGACTATCACAAGCAAATAAAAATTACCTAGCCAATTTGCTTCGTCGACTATCACGAGCAAATTAAAACCCCCCTACTAAATTCGTTCCGTCGACTATCACAGACAATTTAGAAAACCTAGTCAATTTGCTTCATCGACTATCACGAGCAAATTAAAAAACCCTTCTAAATTTGTTTCGTCAACTATCACGGGCAATCTAGAAAACCTAGTCAATTTGTTTCGGCGACTATCACGAGAAAATTAGACCATCTTTTTAACTTGTTCCGTCGACTATTGCGGAAAATTTAAAGAACCTAGTCAATTTGCTTCGTCGACTATCACGAGCAAATTATCCCCTCTGCTAAACATGTTCCGTCGACTATCACGGGCAGTTTAGATAACTAAGTAAATTTGCTTCGTCGGCTTTCACGAGCAAATGAAATCCCTCCTTCTAAAACTTGTCCGTCGACTATCACGGACAATGTAGAAAACCTAACCCCGCTCCGCATACCGCGAGGGGGCAACCGAATTCCCGAGTCTGCTTACCGCAACCGAAAGAAAAAAAACCCTTCACCCACTCTGCATACCGCAAGGGGGCAACCGAAATCCCAAGTATGCTCTACCGCCATGGGAATAAATCTACACCCACTTTGCTTACCACACCGGGCAACCAAATTCCAAAGTCTTCCCTACAGCCACGGGAACAAATCAACAACTCACGGGAGCTGAGGAGCGCCCCAACCAATCAAAACCTCACAGGAGCTGGCGAGCCCCTCTATCAGTCAACAACGCACGGGAGCTGAGGAGCGCCCCAACCAATAAAAACCTCACAGGAGCTGGCGAGCCCCTCTATCAGATAACAACGCACAGGAGCTGAGGAGCGCCCCAACCAATAAAAACCTCACAGGAGCTGGCGAGCCCCTCTATCAGTCAACAACGCACGGGAGCTGAGGAGCGCCCCAACCAATAAAAACCTCATAGGAGCTGGCGAGCCCCTCTATCAGTCAACAACGCACGGGAGCTGAGGAGCGCCCCAACCAATCAAAACCTCACAGGAGCTGGCGAGCCCCTCTATCAGTCAACAACGCACGGGAGCTGAGGAGCGCCCCTACCATTCAATACCTCACGGGAGCTGAGGAGCGCCCCAACCAATCAAAACCTCACAGGAGCTGGCGAGCCCCTCTATCAGTCAACAACGCACGGGAGCTGAGGAGCGCCCCTACCATTCAATACCTCACGGGAGCTGAGGAGCGCCCCAACCAATCAAAACCTCACAGGAGCTGGCGAGCCCCTCTATCAGTCAACAACGCATGGGAGCTGAGGAGCGCCCCAACCATTCAAAACCTCATAGGAGCTGGCGAGCCCCTCTATCAGTCAACAACGCATGGGAGCTGAGGAGCGCCCCAACCATTTAATACCTCATAGGAGCTGGCGAGCCCCTCTATCAGTCAACAACGCACGGGAGCTGAGGAGCGCCCCTACCATCCAATACCTCACGGGAGCTGAGGAGCGCCCCAACCAAATCAATACCTCACGGGAGCTGAGGAGCACCCCTACCAAATCAATACCTCATGGGAGCTGAGGAGCACCCCTACCAAATCAATACCTCACGGGAGCTGAGGAGCACCCCTACCAAATCAATACCTCACGGGAGCTGAGGAGCGCCCCTACTGTTTAATACCTCACGGGAGCTGAGGAGCGCCCCAACCAATCAAAACCTCACAGGAGCTGGCGAGCCCCTCTATCAGTCAACAACGCACGGGAGCTGAGGAGCGCCCCAACCAATAAAAACCTCAACGCACAGGAGCTGAGGAGCGCCCCAACCAATAAAAACCTCACAGGAGCTGGCGAGCCCCTCTATCAGTCAACAACGCACGGGAGCTGAGGAGCGCCCCAACCAATAAAAACCTCACAGGAGCTGGCGAGCCCCTCTATCAGATAACAACGCACGGGAGCTGAGGAGCGCCCCAACCAATAAAAACCTCATAGGAGCTGGCGAGCCCCTCTATCAGTCAACAACGCACGGGAGCTGAGGAGCGCCCCAACCAATCAAAACCTCACAGGAGCTGGCGAGCCCCTCTATCAGTCAACAACGCACGGGAGCTGAGGAGCGCCCCTACCATTCAATACCTCACGGGAGCTGAGGAGCGCCCCAACCAATCAAAACCTCACAGGAGCTGGCGAGCCCCTCTATCAGTCAACAACGCACGGGAGCTGAGGAGCGCCCCTACCATTCAATACCTCACGGGAGCTGAGGAGCGCCCCAACCAATCAAAACCTCACAGGAGCTGGCGAGCCCCTCTATCAGTCAACAACGCATGGGAGCTAAGGAGCGCCCCAACCATTCAAAACCTCATAGGAGCTGGCGAGCCCCTCTATCAGTCAACAACGCATGGGAGCTGAGGAGCGCCCCAACCATTTAATACCTCATAGGAGCTGGCGAGCCCCTCTATCAGTCAACAACGCACGGGAGCAGAGGAGCACCCCTACCATCCAATACCTCACGGGAGCTGAGGAGCGCCCCAACCAAATCAATACCTCACGGGAGCTGAGGAGCACCCCTACCAAATCAATACCTCATGGGAGCTGAGGAGCACCCCTACCAAATCAATACCTCATGGGAGCTGAGGAGCACCCCTACCAAATCAATACCTCACGGGAGCTGAGGAGCACCCCTACCAAATCAATACCTCACGGGAGCTGAGGAGCGCCCCTACTGTTTAATACCTCACGAGAGCTGAGGAGCGCCCCAACCAAATCAATACCTCACGGGAGCTGAGGAGCACCCCTACCAAATCAATACCTCATGGGAGCTGAGGAGCACCCCTACCAAATCAATACCTCACGGGAGCTGAGGAGCACCCCTACCAAATCAATACCTCACGGGAGCTGAGGAGCGCCCCTACTGTTTAATACCTCACGAGAGCTGAGAAGCACCCCTACCAAATCAATACCTCATGGGAGCTGAGGAGCACCCCTACCAAATCAATACCTCACGGGAGCTGAGGAGCGCCCCTACTGTTTAATACCTCATGAGAGCTGAGAAGCACCCCTACCAAATCAATACCTCACAGGAGCTGGCGAGCCCCTCTATCATTCAATAACGCGTAAATGATAAAGAGCGCCCCTACCAGTAAATATCTAACTGGAGCTGGCAAGTATTAAATAAATGTAGCAGAAGATGATTGATAGGCATCAGAAAAAACCGTCGACGCTGTCGAACATCAAATAAATACAATAAAGTGAGTATCAGAAATTACTCGCGTTGGCGAACGCTATATAAAAACGTAAATTTTCCATCAGTAACAAAGATGATCAAAGAAATAGAAGTTCTCGCTATCGGAAATCTTATACAAACGCACTAAATCATTCGCTATCCTAACATAATCCTCAAATCACATCCTATTTCAAGGACCCTAACACAACCATCATGATACTTTTAGAAAATGTGGTGTCTTTATAAGAACTTTGTATAACTCTTTATACAAAGAGATATACAAAGGGGGGCAACTGTAGACACCACATTTTGTCCGGAGCAACCATCCTACTCAAAATTCGGAAGAATATTCCATTTAAAAATTAAAAAGAAAACCCAAGTGAAAGTTTGGACGAGGTTGGTTGAGATTAGCAGTGGCAAATCAATAAGTACCAATAATTTCGAAGTCCTCTTTCTGTTTAGTTCGAATAGCTGTACTAGGTAGGATTAGCAGTAGCTAATGACTACCAAATTCGCTTTATTTAGAATAACAATAGTATGCCGTCACGACTATACTAGTATTACTGTTAATGGTTAGTGAACTTACTGATATTGGTCAATATTGGTCGAAATTCACAATCGG